CTTTCTCTGTGGATTGCCTCTGTGAATAATTCAGGGACTTTGATGTCTGCAGCAAAGCTGGTATTTATTTATTGTGTTTGATTTGTACTGTTAAATTTTTAAAGGGCAGTTAGGAGGAAATATTTAAAGATCTGTTGGGTTTTGTTGCTTTTAGATTAGTTTTTCCAAACTTGGCTGATAATATGCTAGCTCTCCAGTGATACTGAATAGAGCTGCTGTAACAACCATCACCTTGTGGTAGAAGTCTCCATGGGGTTTATCTGAGGACATTTGTTGTTTTCCCTTGTGGATGTTTAGCCTCCTCAGTGTGTAATTCTTTGTTGTTGTTGTGTAGCTGATGGATCTGCAGCTGAGTGACAGTAACTTCCGCCGGCACATCCTGTTGCAGTACCTCATACTGTTCCAGTATCTCAAGGGACAGGTCAAGTTTAAAAGGTAATGTGGAAATACTTTGTTTTAGGGATGGGGAGCTAAGAACTCAGAGATAAATCAAAATATTTCAACAGGGTTTGTCTGCTTGTTCAGAGGTTCCTGTGAAACTTGCAGAGCCTTGGATTGGTCGATACAGAACGTGGCTGAAGTTAGTTACTGTCATTCTTTGCCCTCCTTTGCAGTGTCCCTAGTGTTCATCAGACTCACTCAAATTTGTTCAGGTTTCTAAACCAGCAAAAAGCCAATCTGCTCATCTTTGCAGAGCTGTTTTCTCTGCCAGACATGAGCTGCATGAGGGCTGGAAGCAGAGGCCAGTAACTGTTGCTGGAGGTGAGTGCCAGCTAGGAGAGGGAGAGAGTCAGACCAGCCCAGGGTACATGTGTGTGCAGCAGCATTTGGAGTCCCAGATGGACTTTGTGATGTGGCAGTGGCAGCTGATTCATTCTTCTCTTGTGTGCTACAGGATTCTAATAGGGCAAGAATTAACAATGATGATTATTGCTTTTATAAACTAATGGGACAGGACAAAATCCTGACTTGTCCTAGTCTCATGTTATGCTGGAGAAAATCCTACCTCTGTTCACTTGCTGTGCTCCTGACCACCTATGCACCAGATGATTAACATGAATGCAGCTGTCTTTCACTTGCCATGTACTGCTGTTGATAAACAGATCTCAGAGTTTACAAACTAGATGAGAATCTTTGTCCTCCTTCAATAGATTATTTGCCCAGGCAGCCCAGTGGCAGAGAAGGAGCAGAATTCAGATCCTCTGAACTGCAGTTCAAGGCTGTAAAAGCAATAGTCATTTCAGTGACAGCTCATCAAAAGCACTCATTTAATATCAGTGGCTGAGGACAGTATGAGATCCTTCCTTAAAGAGGTTGAGCTTTTTTATATCCTGCTAGCTAAGAGAAGCAAGTTCTAAAAGTGTCTCATATTACTGACTCAGTCATCATCATGTTTGTTTGCTGTTCAAGGTATGTAGTGCCTCATAAAAAGCTGCTGTTATATTTTGCTTTTGAACACTCTAAATGGAACATTAATGGTTATGCTTCAAATGCATTTTTCTTGATGTTGGTTGTTTAATTTGATTTAGTGACACTTTGTTGGGTTTTTGTTTTTTTTTTTTCAATTCCAGCTCAAACCCCGTTCTAACAGATGAACAGTCTCTGTGGATTGAAGATACTACAAAAGCAGTTTACCAGGTTGGTACTGTAGATATTTTTCCCTGTAATTTTTACAGAAGTATTATCATGTAATGTATCAGTGACCTTTGAAGGAGTAACCACCATTGTCTTTGATGTTTGATTGGGGTTTTTTCTTCTACATATTCTGCTACAATTATAATGCAAAAAGTTAACTCTTTTTTTCCTCCCTCCCAATCACAGCTTCTTTCAGAAAATCCTCCAGATGGGGAAAGATTCTCAAAAATGGTAGAGGTGAGTACTTCAGTGCCTGTTTGAACAGCCCCTATAGAGAGTAGAAGTGCAGTATTGCTTTAAACTAGCTCTTGGAACATTGGTGACACCTCTGGTAGAGGTTTTATCTCATCTCAGTAAGTTGTAGTCACATTTTCCCCCTGTTCTTATTAGTGTGCTTTTCTTCCTTTTCCTGGGGAGAAACAGGACGTGCCTGTATGTGCTTGTGAGCACACAGGAGACATTGGCTATTGAAAATATTTTCTTTTTCCCCAAAAGCCTTTGCAGAGAGGAGTGCTGTGCCTAAAGACATAGGGATGAGATGCAAGTGCAATTAGAGAGCTATCATCTTGCTTTCCTTTTACTTTGTGTTCATCTATTTTCTTGTTTAGGGGAGGGGAATAAACTCTGACAACTACTGAAGAAAAGAGATGCAGTGTTTGAATAAGCTCAACCAGCTGCCTAAGATTATACTAGTGACCTTCAAAGTAGTGGCTGAAATACACAGAGTAACAAAACATTGTTTTTAATTGTAATAGCTTCATTAAAAACTGTGGGATCAACTGTGAAGGTGGTTATGACCCTAATAATGTGCAATGTTATGTTTCTTTAGCATATATTAAATACTGAAGAAAACTGGAATTCATGGAAAAATGAGGGCTGCCCAAGCTTTGTGAAAGAAAGGTAACTGCTGTGGAGTGCAAGCTTGTTTGGAACAGGGGTTCAGCTTCAGAGTATGTGCCCATGAAGTGTGTGGAAGTTAATGATTCACACAGGATTGAGATTGTATCATTGAATTTGCCTTTGTGTCCAGAAGGCTCCTGGATCTCTGCTAAGAGTCTTAAGGCTTCATTCCATTAGTGAAGCAGTGGTTATGGGTTGGGGGGGATCAGGGGAGCACTCCTCACTGTCCCAGGGCACTGTTTTGTTCTCTTAGTACCAAGGGTCTGATGACTGAGGAGACCAGGCATGATAACTCCTCCTGCCTTCAGCAGACCCTGGGCTGGAGAAGTTGGTGCCTGGCCTTTCCACAGAGCCCTGTGGAAGCCTTGGGTGGGGCAGCACACCTGGGGCTTTGTGTTCAGTTCTTCCCTTGGGTGCCAGGTTAGGGTTGTCACTTGGTGATGATCACTCACCTGAAAGGAAATGATGGTGAGGTAGCTTTTGCTTTTGAAGGGTTTACAGAGAGAGCAGATTCATTACTTAATCTGCTTGCAAAAAAGGGAGGAGGGCCATGAGAACTTATTGTTGGAGGGGGAGGGGAATAAAATTACAGACTTTGACTTTTATAAATGTTCTGTCTCCTCCTTTAGATCTCAGCCAGAGTTTCAGCTTGGGTAGGTCTTACCCTGACCTCAGTGGTCTGGGGTCTCCACTCCCTGATCCCATGAAATCAGGTGCACCAGGGGAAGGAGCTTGTAATCCCAGGGCAGATGATCTCAGCAGCAGGGCAGAGCATACTCAGTGTGCTGCTGGCATAACTGTGATTGCCTTGTTTTTCTACACTGGGACTCTGATAGACCTTTAAATTTTTGAGTGAAATAATTTTGATGTCTGGCAAATCCTTCCTCTCATCTTTCCCTTCTCTCTCCTCTTCCCCCCTCCCTCCTTCCACTCCTAGAATCCCAGTCCTTAAAATCAGAGTTTAGCTGGGCACCAGATGAGGTGAAAAGGCTTTACTTTGTTCTCCAAGTTTTACTGGTTTGATACCAAAGGGCTTTGGTTTTATTTCATCAGACCTGCTGATTCTAAGCCAATGAGGCCTGTGAGGAAGAGGCCAGCTCCAGAGGACTTCCTGGGGAAAGGACCAAACAAAAAAATCCTTATGGGAAAGTATGTTGGATTTTTTTCATTACAGGGTTTATGAACTTCTGTTGTTTGGGGGCTTTTGACACTTGATTTTTGGTTTTATTTTATTACTACTTGGGGTTTTTTTGTGTGGCTTTGGTTAGGGTTTTTTTTGCCATTGACTGTTTCTTGTCAGTAATTTTCAAATTTCCTCACTTTGGAGCTGCCAGGAAAGAACAGCCAAGGGATATGTCAGTTCTCTTAAAAATTTGTGGTAGTTTTCCTTTCCCCACAGTCATCTAGATTTCTTGGTATGTCCTCTCCAGTCAGTGCTGTGTTTCCATGAGGCCAAGAGCCACCTATTTCCACTTCCTTCTTCAGGAGCAGTTGTAGTCTTTTCATTGCAACAGCTCACCAAGCCCAGGTGTGGACATTTTGACCTTGTCTTCTGCTTCAAGACCTTGTGCTGAGTGTTGAGTAAAATGTCCCCTCTGAAAAATAGTGATAAATTGTTTAATTTATCAGAACAAAAATAGCCTGTCCATAGCTAGTGTGAAAAGGGAGTTTATTGCTCTTGATGACCATAGGTCAGCAAGAGATGATAATAAAAATGTAATAGAGAATTTTCCTAATTGGCAACATCAGCTGATATTCCTGCAGCATTGTTCTGTGTCTCTGGTGAGTGATGGAGCGTGGAATGAGAGAGCTGAATGTGGAGTTTAATCTGAATTCTGGCTCCTCTTTTCAGTGAGGAACTGACCCGCCTTTGGAACTTGTGTCCTGATAACATGGAAGCTTGCAAATCTGAGAGCAGGTAGGTGAGAGATAACATAGCATTGTGAAAAGCTAAATCCCAGCACTCTGCTCACAAAACTAAAGGTGTTACAGAATCAGCATAAGGGAAGTACATAAAGTGATCTTACATGCTATGCCACGTTACTGGGTGTCTTGAGAGAAGCTGGTTCTCTGAGTTCATAGAGTCACTTTGGCTGGAAGAGGCCTCTGAGATCATGGAGTCCAACCATTAACCCTGCTCTGCTAAATCCTCCCATAAGCCATCTCCCCAAGCACCACATCTGTATGGCTTTTAAACACACACAGGGGTGGGCACTCAACCACCAACCTGGGCAGCATGTTCCCACCTTAAATGTGCATGGGGCACTGCTTTCCTGGGCAAAACCTTGTTTTTCAGACCAAAACTGAGCTGCATTTGTAAAGCAGTGCAGTTCCCCCTGGGACAGATCTCTGGCTTCCCTTGCAGAAGCAGGTGTGCCTAAGCAGCACGTTTCTGACACAGCCAGTCAGCTGTTAAGGGTGTTTTTTTATGAAAGTCCAACTTCCTTATTGCCAGAACTCTTGTCTTATGTCCCATGGTCCTTTTTCACCAGATGGCAGATGTTTGGGTCCCCTTTGGGTGTGGCAGGAGGTGTAAATGCATGTCCCAGGCAGTGCTGCTGACTGCTGGGTTTGCAGTAAACAATCTTGTAGCAATGTGATTCAAAAAGATTCCTTGCAATGTAATTGCAGTTAAATTTGAGTGGGGTGGTTTTCAGGGTGTTTTATTTCAGTGAATAAGCTTGAGGTGTATCACAGGACTAGAGCTCAGCTACAGTTGGTATTAGAGTAGATTGTGAGGAGTATTAAACTCCTTATTTTGTTTTCCAGGGAATATATGCCAACGTTGGAGGAATTTTTTGAAGAAGCTATTGAACAAGCAGACCCTGAAAACATGGTTGAAAATAAGTACAAGTAGGTCAAACTTTGTGTTTTGCTTGATTTTTGACCCCTTTCATGTTAGGATTGCTGAAGAAAGCAAACTGTTCTGTGTCACTGGCTTCTGTGCAGGGCTCCAGTCATGTACCCAAAATTATAACCTTGGACAGAATTATATGAACCAGTAAATGCCTTGGATCTTTTCTGAGATGCAAAAAAGAGCTGCTGAGATCTTTGAGGTGTTTTAGAGGTGGCAGACTGCTGCTAACCCAACTTGTGTTTGATTACAGGGCTGTGAACAACTCTAACTATGGCTGGAGAGCACTGAGGCTTCTAGCACGCAGAAGTCCACACTTCTTCCAGCCAACAAACCAACAGTTCAAGAGTTTACCTGAATATCTAGAAAACATGGTAATCAAATTAGCCAAGGAGCTGCCTGTAAGTAATATTATCCTATAATAATAAATTCTGAATTCATTTGGCTTCCTGCTTGTTTCTCTCCAGTCCATTTTGTATGTGGGGAGGGAGGGGGCAAAAAACCCACAGGAAAGCAAAAAGCTTGTACACTGAGGTAAAAATGACAAATAAAACTGGTGTGATGTGTGAAGGTCCCAGTAACACTAGGGTGGAGAGCACTAAGCAGGTGCTGAGCCCTGCCCTGTGTGCTGTGAGCAGACAGCTGTGGCAGTCCCAGTGGTGGGCAGGAATGTGTTTGTACCTGGCTGCCTGGGTGCAACCCACTGTTATGGAAGGTGTGGGCTGCTGTTGGGACTCTGCTCAGCAGCAGCTGGGTGCTGGGATGGCAGAGCTGCAGCTGAAGGTACTGTGCTAAGTGTTACCAGAGCTTTAGAGCAAGATGTAGCACAGCTCTTCAGTCAGCTTCATGGATTTAAAATATGTAAAGAAAAATGGATCTTGTGGAGCTGTAAACTGGAGGCATTGATCCCTTAGTGTCCAGTGTGAGGCCAGGGGGAGTCTGGAGTCCCTCAGATCACTTTATACACAGGGCTGAGAGGGACTAGTGCTTGGGGAAGGGAGCACTTTGTAAACCTCTGAGTCAGAGCAATTCCTTGTGGCTGTGAACCCACACTTTGGATCTGAGCCTGTGCAGTGTGAAGCCAGTGAGGCATGAAGGTGGGGCTGTAGTAACCAGCTCACTTGTGCAGCCATCAGCCAACGAGATGCTGGGAGCAGTGTTAGAAAAAAAACACTGGGAGGGAAAAGCTGTTGAGTATCTGTGAAGTTATCAGTGTATGCAGTGTTCTGGTGGCACTGCTACCACACACCAAATGTTATGGCAAGAAACAAAGACCCAGATGAGGCCTGGGATTGAAATGTAGGAAAAGAGGCAGCCCTTTGTTCATCTTGGCTGCTAATTGCTAAATGGCAGTGGAAATGTTGTTGTTTGGCTGTTTGCTGTCTGTAAGGAGTTTGAAAATAGAGAAGACTTTGAGGAATTGCTGAGTGAGGAATAAGGTTAGTGAGGAATAATTAACAAAATGTTCCTGAGAGTGGTCTGATAGACAGTTGGTTTGTTGGGGTTTTTGTAAGTAGTAAAGGCAGGTCTGTAATGCTTAGTTGTAGTTGGTGTGAGGAGAGAATCCTGTGAGGTCAGTGGATGCTCTCGTTGGGTTTTTTACTTCATTCTGTCTTTTACCCAACCCCTTGTTACTGGTGTTCTGGAGACTGGGGGATTTTTAGTTCTCGTGGGGGAATCATGGCAGGTTTTCCTTTCTAACACCTGTTCCAGAGGGAATCACAGCTGTAAAATTTCTCCTCAAACACAGAATTCATCCAGTGATGTGTAGTTCTCTCATTGTAGCCTCCTTCTGAAGAAATAAAAACAGGCGAGGATGAAGATGAGGAAGATAATGATGCTTTATTAAAGGAAAACAATGAAAGTAAGATTTGCATGTTCTCAGTCTTTTCAGTTTCTCTCTTGATGTGTCTTGCAGAAGCTGTGTTTAGTGACTAGAGTTTCTGCTCAGGGTCACCAGTCCTGTTCACCCCAGTGCTTCTGACATGAACCCACATTGACCCCAAAAGGTGTGGGGGCCACAGGGCAGCTGTAGCACCTCTGTGCTGTGCCCTGCAGTGCTGGGAGCACCCAGCTTGTGAGTTTGGATCAGCACTCCTGTTAGGGGCCTCTCCCCCCTCCTCTGCTGCAGTGTCAGCAGGTGTCTGCACTGAGGTGCCACACTGCTGCCTGAGCCCTGCCCCAGTGCCCCTTGCCCACCTTCCTGCTCCCTCTGCCCCTCAGCTGCCTGGGGTAGGTGCCTCCCCTGGCCCCTGTGGGGGAACTTCTGGGCCTCTCACAGGTGGGGTAGTCCAGCTCTGGGATCTTTGCTTCCTCTTCATGTAAAATGTGAAGGCAAAAGCTCTGTGAGAAGAGCAGCAGAGAAATGCCACCTCTTGTTCCTCCCCAAGAACTGGTCCTCCCATGGTCTCTCCCTGGTGTGTCATGCTCCTGCCTGTCCTGCCCTGTCCCTTGTGCCCCTTCCATCCTCACTCCCCCTCCATCCCACGGCTCACTCTGACTTGCTGTTGCCCCATCGTGGGTGGTGGGCTGTGCAGGGTGGGGGAGCCCCATCCCACGGGCAGCTGTGTTCTGTTTGCCCTGGTAGTGAAGAGCCTTTTGTGGCCTCTGTTCCTCTAATCTGCTGCCCTGACCTTTCCCCTGTGTCCTTGCCAGCCGTGGAGGGTGTCTCCTGGTCAGGGTAGGGCTGCTGGGGACAGCTGTGCTGGGTTCAGAGCTCTGGGCTGGGGCAGAGGGGGCAGAGCTGGGCTCTCTGTGTGCCGTGGCACGGGCAGGGCAAGCTCGGGCTGGTTGTGTTCCTTGGCTTGTTGTCATCTTCTCTTCTCTGCCCTCGCTGGGGTGAGCTGAGCTCTGACAAACGTGGCTGCTGAGAGGCAGAACTTTCCTCCAGCACAGCTGGCTCCTCACTTGGCAGGAGGGTGAGGTAATGGTTAGAAATTGAGAATATTATTGATTTATAAGCACAAATATTCAGCCTTCAGGGTTTTTTCTTTAAAAGTGTGCAATGGATGTGTGTGGTAAGCCACAGAGGGTGGAGCAGGGTGAGCTGTGGATGTGCAGCCCCCTGTGTCCTCTCAGCACAGCCTGGGGTTCCATGGGCTCATCCTGGAGCCAGAGAACTCCTGCAAGTTCTGACTAAAGTTCTGTCCTGCTGCCATCGGGAGCATGAGGCTGCAGTAAGTCAGTGAAAGGGAAACTGCTTTATACCTGGGTTAACTCCAACTAAATGACTAAAGTCTGGAAGACAATTAAATGTTAAAGATAACTGTATTTTAATATTACAATTGAAACACATACTGCAGGCTGCCTGTTGGAGTCCTTGTCCTTGCCTTCACTGGGAGGAGGCAGCTCTGATGGACTGAAGGCTTTAGCAGTTCTTTCTCAAACAGGAGATGAAATAATCCCCAAGATTTTCTTTATCATGGGCTGTTGCAACCCAGGTGCTGCATCTGTAGATCCATCTGCTCTTGGAGCTCCTCAGGTTCCCCCAGCTGCAGGGAAGGTGTGAGGCAGGGTTGGTGCAGCAGGAGGCTGTGCAGGACCTGCAGCCATCCCCTGTGTCTCTGCTCTCTCCCCAGGCCCAGAGGTGCAGCAGGACAAGGCCATGACGGGCGAGCAGATCGAGGCCTTGGCGGCCAGGCTGGGCGAGCACTGGAGGGCCCTGGCCCCCTACCTGGAGATGAAGGAGCCCGACATCCGGCAGATCGAGGCGGACAGCGAGGACGTGAGGATGAGAGCCAAGCAGCTGCTGGTGGCCTGGCAGGACCAGGAGGGGGCACACGCCACCCCCGAGAACCTGGTGGCGGCGCTGGGCAGGGCGGGGCTGGGCGAGCTCGCCGAGAGCC